CCCAATCTGTTAGTATTGCCTTTTCTTCTCCACACTCCATCCTCCAAATGCACCAACAAATGATCTCCAACAACACAACACCAAAACTATAGACATCCACTTTAACTGTCACAGGTACATTCTTGATGTTAAGACTACTGAGAATAAACAAACTCAAGCTCAATCATCACAGCTCAAGTCAGACACCACAGCTTCCTCACAGCTCAAGCCATAGTACGTGGATTCTTTTGCTACGGCTAGTTAGACAGTTAGATGAGTTGTTAGAACTCTAGTTAAAGTGTAACTATAGTTAGTTAGTTAGTTAGTTAGTTAGACTTTTATCTTTATAAATATAGTGTAAATATCTGTAGATGGATTCATTGAATAAAGAATCAAGTTCTTCTTTGTGGTATCAGAGCATATGAAACTCTAACGAGTACTGATCCTCATATCTCATATCTTCAAAGATCTTCTAATACCTTCAACGATCTTTAAAGCTCAAGCTTTCTTCATGGAAAATCTGTCATCGTCGCCATCAATTCCTTCTAATCTTTCTTTGCTCATCTCCAATCTCAGTTCCTTCGTGACTGTGAAATTAGATTCTTAGACTATATAGCTTGGAGGAATCAATTGCAGAACATATTGCGTGTAACAAATCTCATTAGTTTTGTGGATGGATCACAGGTTTGTCCTTCATCTGTGATAATTGATTCTGCGAATCAGGAGGTCTCAAATCCTGAGTATGAAAAATGGATGTGCATTGATTCTCATCTCCTCAGTTGCATCACAGCTACTTTGTCTCCAGTCATCTTCACTTCAGTTTTTCATTCAATCTCAATTTACTTCTCTTTCTCGGTCTCATATTCATCAACTCAAGAACAAGATGAATCGCCTCACCAAGAAAGGATTAACCGTGGGTACCTATCTCACTGAGTTTAAGACTATAGCAGATCAACTTGCTTTGGCTTGTGCACCTGTTGATGATGAAGACATTGTTTTATACATCTTAAATGGCCTTCTAGACGAGTACAATGCTTTTAAGACCACTATTCGTGCTAGATCTGGTTGTATTTCTCTTGACACATTGTGTTCCTTACTTTCTTCTGAAGAAATTCATATTTGAACATGCTACTAAACAGTCTCATACTTCTGAGCTTCCTTTTCCCTATGTTGCCACAACAAAACCTTACTCCAATTAAGGTGGATCTGTTAGAGGCTGAGGGTTCAGAAGTGGCCGATATTCTCGAGGTGCTCGTAGAGGAGGAAGGCAGCACTTCTTCAATTCTCCTTCCACATATCAACAATCTCCAACCATTTCTGGTTCTGTGTGTCAGATTTGTGGCAAACCAAATCATACTACCTTAAATTATTGGTATCGAATGGACCAAGGTTTTCAGGCTTTCACCAGGCCATCCACACCTAAAGCCTATATGGCTTCTGCTCCATCTTCTTCTTCTTAGAATTCCTCTCCTACCTAGTATATGGATTCTGCAGCTACTAGTCATATCACCAATGACTTAAATCATCTCTCCAATTATCAACCTTATCATGGCAATGATCAAGTTACAATTGGTGATGGTTCTACTCTTCCTATTCAACACATTGGTAATGGACTCTTCCCTACTCCTTCTCTTCCACTTCGGCTTCATAATATTCTCCTTGTCCTTTATATTTCCTCCAATCTTCTTTCTGTGAATAAATTAGCCTCAGATAATAATTGTTCCATTACTTTTGATGCTCATGGTTTTCTTGTTCAGGACAAGGTTACCAAGAACATGCTATATAGAGGTCATCATTCTTAAGGTCTATACCTTGCTCCATTATCTTCTCATGCTCAATCTATTTCTATGGCTTCTATAGCTGTTCCACCTCAGTCCTGTTTTAGTACCATAGCTGCTCTTGCCTCTGTCCCTGGTTCAGTAGACAATTCCAGTCCCAATTGGCATCTCAGACTTGGTCATCCCTCGTCTAAGAAGCTTCAGTACATTGTTAACACTTTTCATTTGTCTTCACCTACTTCATTTGGTTTATGTATTGATTGTTGTGTTTCTAAGACACAGAGATTACCATTTAGCTTGTCTAATTCTACTGTTAATAAACCTCTAGCTCTTATTCACTTCAATGTTTGGGGTCCTTTTTTTGCCTCTCTATTTGGTTACAAGTACTATGTAGTTTTCATAGATGATTTTAGCAAGTTTACTTGGCTATTTCCTCAGTATTACAAAAGTGAGGTTTTCTCTAAATTTCTTGAATTCAAAGTGTTGGTTGAAAATCAATTTTCCATTTCTCTTAAGATTCTTCGCAGTGATAATGGAGGTGAATACTTATCCACAGAATTTCAAACTTTTCTTAAAAATAAAGGCATTTTGCATCATCTTATATGTCCTCACACTCCAGATCAGAATGGAGTGGCTGAACGTATGCACAGACATCTCATTGAGATTACCATTGCCTTAATGCATCATGCTTCTCTCCTTTTGCCTCTCTGGTTTGAAGCTCTAGCTACAGCAGTAGTGCTCATTAAGCGACTACCTACTGCTAAACTTAACTTTCTCACTCATTTTGAAGTTTTGTTTCACACTTCTCCAGACTATTATTTTCTCAGAACTTTTGGTTGTCGATGTTTTCCTTGGTTAAGAGCCTATACTCAGCACAAGCTTCAACCTAGGTCTATTCCTTGTGTTTTCATTGGTTATCATCCATCAGTCAAAGGTTATAGATGCCTTGATCTTATTTCTGGTCACATCTATCTCTCTAGACATGTGCTCTTTGATGAAAATTGCTTTCCATTTTCCTCTTCTTCTGCTGCTATTCCAGCCTCAGCTCCCTCTGTTGTTCAATTGCATTCTTTTTTCTAGTTTTCTCCTGTTTCTCCTGTGTCTACCTCTGCAGCACCTGCTGTTCTAGCTGTGTCTCTCCCATCTGTTGCCACAGCTTCTTCTGCTATGTCTGTCCCATTTGCTGCCACAGTTTCTCCTGATATCTTTGCTGCTGTTCCTACTGGTTCTGTTTTGCCATAGCCTGCTACTGCTGCTATTCCTACTGGTTTTGTCTTGCCACAGCCTCCTATTGCTACTCCAATTTCAGCTCTTTTCTTTGTAGCCTCTCATTCTACAGATCCTATTTCTTCTCCACCTCTCATTCCTATTTTTTCTCTTCATATTGACTTACCCTTGTTACTATCTGCTCCATCTTCTTCATTGAACTTTCACTCTAAGATCACAAGATCTAAATCTGCTTCTCTTCCTCATCTTGCTCATCTTTTCTCATATTCCTACTGAGCCTACTTCCTATAAGGAAGCTGATTCCTCTCTTGATTGGATTGCAGCTATGAAAGAAGAATTTTAGGCTCTTCAATCCCAACAGACCTGGTCTCTGGTTGATCTTCCTCCCCATAAAAATGGCATTGGTTGCAAGTGGGTCTATAGAATTAAAAAGAACTCTAATAGTTCTGGTGCTAGATACAAGGCTCGGCTGGTTGCCAAAGGTTATTTACAAGAAGAAGGCCTAGAGTATCAAGACAACTTCAGTCCTGTTGCCAAACAACCTACAATTCGCATTCTTCTCTGTCTTGCTTCGCATTTTGGTTGGCCCATCAAACAAATGGATGTCTCTAATGCTTTTCTCGATGATGTTCTTCATGAGGAAGTATATATGAATCAACCTCCAGGTTTTATTACAGCTTCTCATCCTACCAAAGCCTGTAAGTTGCATAAAGCACTATATGGTCTTAAACAGGCACCTCAGGCATGGTTCTCCACTTTTTCTAATGTTCTCTTGTCTCAAGGTTTTCTTGCAAGCCATTGTGATTCTTCTTTGTTTGTCAAAAAGACTGCTTCTTCTATCACTATTCTCCTCATCTATGTAGCTGACATTTTGCTCACTGGTAATGATCAAACTAACATTCATTCCTTGGTGACTGCTATGCATAAGGTTTTTTCTATGAAAGACTTGGTTCTTCTTCATTATTTCTTGGGTATCTCCATTCAATCCTCTGCCAATGGTTTCTTCTTACATCAAGCCAAGTATGCCACTGATATCTTGGCCAAAACTGGTATGATAAATTGTAAGGTTGCTGCTTCTCCAATGCCTACCAAGTCACCCATTCTGTCCACAACAGATCTTCCCTTTGACCAACCTACTTTGTATCGAAGTCTTGTTGGTGCCTTTCAATATTTGGCAATCACACGTCTAGATCTTGCTTTTGCTATGAACTCTGCTTGTCAACATATGCATTCTCCTTTGGTTAGCCATTTTAATGCTGTCAAAAGATTGCTGAGATTTCTTAAAGGAACTCTTGATTGTGGTCTCCAGTTTTAACCAGGTCCTCTCACTCTCAATGCTTTCTCTGATTCAGATTGGGTTGGCAATGCTCTGGATAGCAGATCTACTACTGGGTTTTGTGTTTTTCTTGGTCCCAACTTGATTTCTTGGTCTGCCAAGAAGCAACCCACGGTTTCTTGGTCTTTCACTGAGGCTGAATATAGAGCTCATGCTCAAACTTAAACTTCTGCTAAACCTAGTTGGCTTGGTATGTTTCTCAAAGATCTGCATGTTCTCTTTGTTCCACCTACCTTATGGTGTGACAATTTATCTACTATTGCCTTGTCTAGAAATCCTGTATTTCATGCACGTTCGAAACATATTGAAGTCGATTATCATTATGTTCGCGAGCATGTGGTTTCTAACTAATTAATTGTCAATCACATTCCTACTTCTGATCAGCTTGCAGATATTCTTACTAAACCCGTTTCTACCTCTCGGTTTCAATTTCTTTAAAACAAGCTTCTGGCTTACGCTTCCCCTATCATCTTGACGGAGGATGTTAAGACTACTGAGAATAAACAAGCTCAAGCTCAAGCTCAATCATCACAGCTCAAGTCAGAAACCATAACTTCCTCACAGCTCAAGCCACAGTACGTGGCTTCCTCTGCTAAGGCCAGTTAGATAGTTAGATGAGTTGTTAGAACTCTAGTTAAAGTGTAACTATAGTTAGTCAGTTAGTTAGTTAGTTAGACTTTTATCTTTATAAATACAATGTAAATATCTGTAGATGGATTCATTGAATACAGAATCAAGTTCTTCTTTACTTGAACCATTCTGGAGCCACATATCCTCGAGTTCCTCTTATCCCAATATGAGTCCAAGACTGATTAAACATCAAAGATTTTGCCAATCCAAAGTCGGATATTCGTGTTGTGAAATATTCATCGATGAGTATGTTTTGAGGCTTTATGTCACAATGGATGGTGGGGGCATCGCATTCTTCATGCAAATACACTAGTCCTCTTGCAATTCCCCGCGCTACTTGAGTCCTTTGATACCAACTGGGTCTTGGAAGGCTGAAAAGGAAATTAGCTAAACTTTCATTGGTCATGAGCTCGTATACTAGAAGTCTTTGAGGCCTCTTATCGTAGTATCCAACCAATTGGACTATTTTTGTGTGATGGGTTTTCCCGATTGCACTCACTTCGGTTTTAAATTCCCTCTCTCCTTCTTTTGACAACTTGTCTAACCTCTTGACTGCAACTTGATTCTTGGAACCAAATTTCAGTGCACCTTTATAAACAATACCAAAAGAACCCATTCCCAGTTCTTCCTTGAAAACTTGTGTTGCTTCATTGAGTTATTCGAAAACGAAAATACGCAAATTTGATTCAGGAACATTAGAATCATATATAGTCATTTTCAATTTCTTGTGATGCTATGAGAAAACCACTAGAGAAACTATAACTAGCAAAAGAATGTTGAAGAGCCCAGAGCCGCCAAAAAGAATTGACCACAAGAGAATATGACTCTCTTTCTTTGAGTAGGAAAATGGATCATTAGAATTACCCAGAGAAGGAACACCTATACCTTTCCTTGTTTTGTTGATGGCTATTGCACTCTCCTTTCTCCCATTAGACAACGGAAGCCTCTTCTTCCAACATGTTATATTACCGTCAAATATGGCAACCATACAAGAACAATCATGCAAACAAGACTGTTCGCACTGCATTTGATTGTAAGGTTACAAACTATCATAATCTTTGGATGGCCAATTCACATTCAAAATCACTGTTAAATTATACAAGTCTTCTGGTTTTCTTGATCCATCATCTACTCTACAACCTATAAGGAAATTTGGTTGGCAGCCACCAAATTTGTTATTTGGATCCGTAAACAAAAACCCGAGTGGGCATTGGCAGCTAGGAATGCCACTATTGTCGACACAATAGCTATTGAACCCATAGGCACCACTGCCAATTTCGTTTGTCGGTTGCATACAAATGTTTTCAGGGATGTGTCGTACAACTGACCAACTTTGGGTATCGACTGAAGTCTTTGAGTAAAAATATTGTTTGAAAATGCCATTAAAATCCAATGTTGCACGATGATAGTTGTTGGCGTAATTTGGAACATTGTTTGGTTATGAAAGTTCGACAGTAGATCCATTCCTTTTCACTATATAAATATCCACTAATTGATTGAAAACCAGTTGTGACCTAGATTCAGAAGGGTTGGCGAAAGCCGTTCCATTACTGTAATACGCCTTATAAGCAAGTCGGCTAGGCTAGGTGACAACTTTGAGTTCAAGAGCTCCATTCATGAAATGAAGCTCAAACCTTCCATTCGAGTAATTGGCTTCAGTCAACCTAGAATACAACATGCCACCCTGTGACAATACTTGGGTTGGCAAGATAGTGTCTGTGGGATAACTAAAACTCTGCCATGCATAAACAAAGTTATTAGTACTACTTGAAAGCACAAAGTTGCCAGTGTCAAGCATTGTGGCATAAGAAATGGTGGTGTCAAGTGGAAGTGGTGCCTTCCATATTGCTTGGCCATTAGGACTATTCAGTGTGAGGCCACTTGCTGTGAGTTCAACCTTCGACTCTGTTTGCACCGGACTAGTTGTGTTTGCATGCCAGATTATGGTTTTGTTAGGTATCTTGGCATACCATATGGCAATCAAGAAGATGTTTGTGTTGTCAAGTTGGCGGAATCCAAAAGCGAATTCCTCCGAAGGCGAAATCCATGAAGAGTTGTCACCAATGGCAAAAATTGACAAGCCCAAAGTTATGTTGGAAGCGCTAAATACAGGCAGAAAAGGCAAAAAAGACAGGAAGATGAGATGATGGATAGCGGAAGAAGCCATTTAAGCTGTTGCTCCAACTGCAAACAAGGTTCACAACAATATGAGACATGTTTTGTAGTGTTTTAACTAATTGGGTTAGAGTTGTGCTATACCTATATCCAGAAAAATCATTCATTCACATGATGATTCATAAAGATAAGAGGCTGGGTCTCACATGTAGTTCTAACCTCTTGATTTTTTGGTCTGTGAATCATTCTGTAAATGATATATGTAGGAATTATATGTACCAAATAAATCTACATCATAGCATAGTTGTCAATCTTATTCCAGGAGGGTATTGTACAAGCAAAAAAAAATACAAAGAGCACTTAACTATCTCAAGTAATTTCTATTTGGGCTATTTAAGACTATTTGGTCATAGAGTTGTGCTATTCTAACTAAGAAGTTAGATCTTCTTTTCAAATCTAATGATGTGACAGTATATTAGAATATCTATCAAATTTCTCTCTTTGGTCTTCTCTAATCACTAGTTAATCATCTTTTTTACACATCACAAGGTCTTAAAATTCTTTGGGCATATTGAGATATTCTGCGCAATTTGAGTCATATCGTACAAATCTTGTTTGGATAGGTTAAAAAACACTATCTATAAAAAATATGTGAGCGAGATTTTTCAATCTTAATATTATAAAATTATATAATCAATCCATTTGTTTCTCATCAAATCTCATTAGTTTTTGATCATACTCGTATCGAGACTAAACGTTTTATCCAAAAAACCAAAAAGTCTTTATAAGTTATAACATGACTTTCTTTATTTTTCTACACATTTTTTTAATTTATAAAAAGTTAAAAAATAACTAAAATAACATATTTTCAAAGTTTACCCAATTTTCAAATCTTATTTGGATAAATAAGAGAGCAAAGTATATAAAAAGGGATAGAAGTGAGATCTCATTTTCTGCTTTTGTAATTAAACGAACAATCTCAATATTATAAAATTATATAAGCAATTAGTTCGTTTCCTATCAAATCTCACAACTTTCGATGAAAAATAAAATTAACAGAATAAGAGAGTTTATTTTCTCTTCATTTCTCACAATTCCTTAATTTATAAACTAAACATAAAAATTAATTCATTCAATCATCCCATCCAAGGAAACGTGGAAGTTGTGAATGTGTGCATGTGCAAGTTGCCACCTCAGCTGGTCCCCTACACCTAGAATTATGGAAGTTGTTGAAACAAAGGAATGTGATTTGTTATCAGCATGACTACAATGAGTATATGCATTCAATGACAACTACCAGGTGGTTCCCCACCTTGAGCAATGCTAAAAGGACACCTGACAGTAGGGGTGTTCGCGGATTGATTTTGTGCGGTTTGCGGTTCGGTTTTGACCTACCCGCATCTATGCGGTTTGGAAAAAAGTCAACCCGCAACCGCCCGCAGTGCGGTTTGCGGTTTGTGCGGAGAGGGTTTGCAAATGTGCGGGCGGTTGCGGGCGGTTTGCGGTTTACACTTTTTTTTTTGAAAGTTAATTTTCGAGTTTTTTTTTCCCAGCGAATTTAGGCATCAGATTCATTTTATATATTTGTGATAACAATTTTTTGATGAGTTTACAAATAAAAATTGAATATCAATGCATTAAATGAAAGTACCCAAAACAAAGAGACCCTACACTAGCATTTTTGCCATGAAAAAAATGTATATCAATGCATTAAAGGTTGTATTCAATTAGAATTGCCAGTTCAGTAATCAATAATCAAACTATAAGTTCCATCGACCATTAGAAGGAAAATTTTATTACGAAAAAGTGAATAAATCGCCAATGAAAATCATATAAGAAACCAAGTTTAGGACTTTATAATTCTACGGCATTAAGAAAGTTGAGAAATACTTAAAAATAAGGATCCTAGTAAAATGAAAAATTGAAAAACAATAGCAAACATATTGTACGTAATTTCAATTTGAGGGTGACCAAGTACTATTGCCACCAGTATTACCACCATTCACCCATTAATAAACATCAAAATTTCTCAAAAATTCTATTGTATATATATATTTTAATGGTAAGGAATATCCTGATTAGCTTGTTCGCACATCGACTAATCTCTGATCCGGTCAAAAGTAGACCATCCATACCGGGGCTAGGGACTTTACAAAATTTCTTTCTTGTGATCTAACTTCAAGAGTTGAACCCTGAGCAATTGTGTAAGGAGCAAACTCACTAATCATTCAGAACAACTCTCAAAGTTTAGATTTCTTCATATAGAGAAATTTTACTACAAGTAGAATAATGAAATTTTGTACACTGAAAGTTCACTACATATATAACATTGGAATATCACTACATATAGGAAACTGAAAATTTCTATTCACCAAAACTTCCAATGAAAATTTTATGTACAATTGAAGAAAATGATGATCAACATTGAATGATATTTTAATGATATTTCAGAAAACTTCCATAACAAAACAAAAACTATTAAATGAGGCTGAAATGTATGCATGTATTGGAGCTTCCAATCACATCATGGTGGGGGTGGCTTCATGGTCAGTGTGGCCACTAAATTTTCGAATAATTAAGCATATCCCTCAATTATTGACTTTTGAGAATTGGTCCTATGTGTACCGTTTGACAAAATGCAGGCCAGAAGTGCCTAGGAGATAATGCAATCTTGACTAGGGTGGGCACCTAAGCTTGAGCTTGGAAAAAAAAATTATTTTGGTATTTGCTAGTCCTCATTTATCAATTATATATTTTAGTCAAAAAATTATTATAAATTATTATATCACTTTTTTTATTTTTAACATATTTTTTTTATAAAAAATTAAAAAATTAACTAAAATAATCGATTTCCAAACCAATTATAAGGAAAAGAATAAAAAGAAGTTGCGATAGATGTTGGGGGTGATGGTGAGAGACCATGGAGACTAGAGAGAGTGGAAATTGAGGTGAAGCTGGTAAATGGGAGAATGTGGATGTTGTTAATAGGTTGAAGCTAAAAGAAATGATATATGAAAATAAGCCTTCGTTTGGCATAAATTAAAATGAGATTTTTTTAATTAAAA